AAATCCAAAAAAGAAAAGAATTTAAAAATAAATTACTAATGTATTTATGATAATTGATTTCTTTCTTTCATTTATTTTCAATTTTTTTAAATAATCAAATGCATTTTTAAAAAATCATAAATCTTTTTAGATTTATTTAATACAAAATTAATAAAATATAAAAATATATATATTTAAATTTATCTATTGTTTAAATGTATTCAATTTATAAATGCCTTTTGTAAATGGAAAAAAAAAAAAATAATAATAATAATAATATCTTTTATAAATCAATAAAATATAAAGTTCAAAACCAAAAAAATCAATAAAATTATTTAATCTATTAATATTTCTATTATTCTGCAAAAAAAAAATATATATTAGAAATTATGCGAACGAAGCATGATAATAAAGCAAGAAGAGAAGGAACAGGAATATTCTTAAAAGACATCAAAAGAATAGAGACGTATTTTGTTTATAATTGAAAATTAAGAAGAAATAAAAGACATAGATAAAAAAGATATTCCATATGCTGAAAGAAAAAGTTCAAAGACATCTTGAAAAATATATGTTCTTAAAATAAGAAATAAATAGAAAAACAAAGAATAAAACAATCGAAAAATAAAGAAAATATAAAAGGAAAAAAAAAATCAATAAAGAAAAAAATAATTGTGGTTTCATTGTTTTATTAAATTATTATTTTTTGGATTCTTTTTAATATGTTATTTATTTATCAAATCCAAAAAATATATATATTAATTAAAAAAATGTTTATTTTATAAATATTTTTTATTATATGTATTTTTACCGAAATAATTCCTAAAAAATCCTCGCATATATATATACATATAATTACCGTCCCCCCACAATCCCCCCCATATACTATTTGTATCGTAATTTATAGTATGTTATACATATTTATTGTATTATAAAATATAGCAAAAAAAATCTATATAATACCCTCCTTCCTTAATATTCAACCCTTTATATTATATGCTTCAAAATATCAAAAAAAATATCATAACAAAACCAAAAAAATAAATAATAAAAAAATCAACCTCATTAACAATCTTTAAAAAAAATCCTTAAACAAAATCAAAAAGCCAAAAAAAAACACAAATTAAAAATAAATTACCTATCCTCATAGTTTGGTTTTTTTTGAAGAAAAGCAATACTTATTTTAAATTCAAATCACTACCTACATTCAAATCTACAAATTTTGTCCATTTCATTCCATATCAAGTCGGATATTATGGAAGATACCAGCGATGCGGGGCATTTTGTCTAAGCCATATTTGTTTGGCATTCTCTGGCCTGTAGCCTTCTGCTCACGTCACCCCATCTCAGGTTAGACGCCATGGACGTTGATGTCAGCGACGGGGACCCTTTTGGATAAATCCACGGTATAATCAGCATAGGGCACCTTCCTTGCGTCATCTTCTCCTAGATGTTTATCTACCATCGTTTGCCTTCGCAGCAATTCGTATCCATCAACCGCATTCGCTAGTCAGAATTGGACATTCTCAAGGATTCCTGCAAGCCAGAAGAACTTCTTAGAAGGCGGCCCAGCCCCAACGTCCTTTCATGACAACACACTTTGGGAGCAAGAACCTGGTCTGCATTCATAAGTATGTGTCTTTGAATCATTGATCATACATTTGTGCGCGCGTGTGTCAAGACTATTTGTTCATCTTGGTAGTTTCTGTCTCTTTTCATCTATCTTCATAGCCCTTTTCCTTATTGTACAAACTCAGGAGTGGTTGAAGAAGCCATCCGCAAGGCTGAGGAGAACTGTCGAGGGCAGAGGCAGCTCGGGACGCAGCCACGCAGAATGTCCCCCACATGAAGATGGAACCGCAGGAGTTCCAGGACGGGCATGCTTGGTTGGCAAATGAATGTCGCAGATCTCCGGTGGATATGGATGCTGACAAAGCTAGCCTTGGATGGACCAACTGGGAGGTTAAGAAGGAGCCGCTCGCTAAGTTCGCCAATCTTCCAGCCAGACGCTCGACCAGGGTCATTGAATTAGACACACCATCGCCCGCCAAACGGCCTCAAACACAAACATCTCTGCCTTCCTTGCCGTCCCTGCCGTCCTGTCCTATCCTGAATCCTGAAAATGCCGAGTTGGGTCTTCCTGACGATAATGTGCCTGACATGGATTTGGAGACGGCCATGGAGGAGTTGATGGATACCATGGAGGGTATGCCACGAGTGGGCAAAGCTCCTGAGGATGAGAAGTCGAATACTTTCTGAGAACATTTCCAATTTTGACTCTTTCTCTCATGAGCTGCTCTTCGCTTCGCTGATCACTGATCGGGCAGGTAGGTAGGACTGGCGTGTAGCTGTTCCATGTGTTGCAATATCAATGCACAAACCGGAATGAGTGCGTATGCGTCGTGGAAAAAGATTTAGTATGCTTCCTGTCGCAGTGCCTTCGAAACTTGTGTTTCAACTCAAGCGTACACACACGCACATACACACATCGGTCATTGCCACAATGTGTTAGTGTGAGCTTACACATGTGCCTACTGTTAGTGACCAATTGCTCAAACACGTTTCATTCTCGTTCAACGTTTTGCTTCTTAGTGTCGCTATGCCGAAGAAGATCATGAAGGCTGTGAAGAAGAACAAGCCACAGGTTTGGCCTGCCTCGAAGACAGGAAAAGCTCGCGCCTTCATGAAGTCCACTACTACCATGAAGAAGCTCAAGCCTGTTCCTTATGTCCGGCATGCGGGTGTTCAGACGAAGTTTCGGAAGGAGAGAGTTCACTTTGGTGTGTCAGTTCAGGGCCTCTTCTCCATGCGCCCGCAGGCTTTGTTTCGTGTCTTGCAGAAGGATGGCATCCTCCCGGACTGGAAAGGCAAGGAGTGACCTCACTGTGGCGCTGGGAAGCTTCAAAGTCTACGCTTCTTCAATGACAGGAAGGTGTGGGCGCACAAGTTCACAGCCAAACATTGTCGCAAGTATATTCAGCCGCATGATTTCCATCCCATCTTCACTCATGGAAGTGGGAGCAGCCATACACCTTTGGGGCATCAAGCAGCCGTTCTATGCTGTGCGCTTGCAGGGGTGCCAGTGGCTGCGACCCCTGTCATCTTGGGCATGAATCACAAACCAGTCTCTCGTATCTACAACAACATTGAGATTGCTCGCAGCCGCCGTGTCATCAAGAAGCAAAAGGAGATCCAGTTCGGGGCGAAGAACCAATGGCGCGATGTGGAAGCCGATGAAGTCGATGTCGGCAAGGAAATCGACTTGCAGCGCAAAAAGGCCAAATGGGAGCAATGGGGCGGCATTGTGGAACGAGGCCAGCCCAACACCTTGGTTCTCTTCCGCCTCCCTCCAAAAATTACAGCTGTGCGCTCTCCGGGCCCTGGCCCCATCACCAAGCGAGACTGGCGACCCATGGCTAACAAGTTCTTGGCTGGTCGAAATGTCATCTTGCATACGGACGAGACCTACAAGATGAAGGTGCCAAGTGTCCTGCGCGACAATGTGGTGCACAAGAAGAAAAAGATGCTGGTCAAGGGCAAGCAGGTGTGGGTGAAACCCCACTACACAAAGATTTGGGAACACAAGCTTCCCTGTGGCAAGCGTGTGACCGTGAAAGCCGGCGCACAAATCATCGACCGCTTCTGGGGCCACCTGCGCACCTCCCTCAAGTACGCCCCGCGCAAAGTCGGCTCCATTGCCCTGGCGTAAAGTTCGAGCCGCGCAGTGGACGTACTGGCACCGGAGCCAGAACCTCTGGGTTGCCACTGGCCGGATGCTTGAGGATCTTCGTGCCTAATGACAAGATGTCGTCAAACAGGTCTACGCTGTAGCATCTTGAGCCTACACCATACTTTCCACGCTTCATTCAGGATTACATGTCTGGCTTCGCATATCTGGCTTCTTCATCACCTTTGCATTTGCTGCCATTTCCACTACTGCTCCATAGTCAATATGTCCGACAAACACACACACCAAATGACTACCAAGGTTCCACATTCAATATGTCTGTCAAGTACCCATGAAACCAATGACAATACCCCATCTCCAATGTGTTTGCAGCCCTTCACAAAAGCAATGCAACCATCCACAAAACCAATGCAACCATCTACAAAACCAATGCAACCATCTACAAAACCAATGCAACCATCAAGAACACCAATGGCTTGAAACTGACAATTTGGTTGCTTTGGTGTTGTTGATGGTTGCATTGGTTTTGTAGTTGGTTGGGGGGGGGTGGGGGGGGGGGGCTGAGCAAATATATATATATATATATCATTGATTTATGTTTTTTTGCGAGATGAGATGCAGCCGATGGCAACTTCTGGCGAACACCTTGGGTGTTCAGTTTGAGCGAAGCAGAACTTGCTGTAAACATCGGTCAGCTGAGCAATCCAAATTGACAAAGTCATCCAAAAGATCCATGATCATCAATCCCCAATAGAACCCAATCCCCTTCCCATAAGAAACAGGTCAAGCTGGCAAGAAGCGAAGGGTCTGTGATGCACAAATTGATTCTCCCCTCAAGAATAGAGGTGGCCGCTGTAGTCACCCGTCCTCCATCCTAGCGACGCTGTGACCTTGCGATCGTGGATCTTCCCGACGCCTTTCCCCAAAGTGCGGTCTGCGACTATGCGCAAACCCCGATGGCCTGTACAAACAAAAACACCACCGTGGCGCGACAAACTAGGCAAGACCCGTCCGATGCCGCGTCACACTTCCTGAATCACTAGTCTGGGTCTCAAACAAGAACAGGACGCGATCGCTAGTAGGTTGGAGGCCATCGCTAGTAGGTTGGAGGCCATCACTGATAGGTTGGAGGCCACTGCTTCTAGGTTGGAGGCCATCGCTAGTAGGTTGGAGGCCATTGCGATTAGGTTGGAGGCCATCGCTAGTGGGTTGGAGGCCATTGCTTTTAAATTTGGAGGCCATCACTAGGAGGTTGGAGGCCATTGCTATTGGGTTGGAAACCATCGCTATTAGGTTGGAGGCCATTGCTATTTGGTTGGAGTAAAGTCCACTTATTACCAGTTCTTACGCAACGCCTGGGCATCTGGACCGGTACCACCCTACCTGGCCAGGAACCTGTGCCTGGCTCAGCGTAGCAAGAGATAGCAAACCTGGTGCCTGGCAGATAACTGATAACTGTGTTTCCACACATGATCCGAAGAAACCAAGTCAAATGGCATGGTGGCTGGCAGAAACTAGCTGCGCTAAGACTTCGTGGGTCGGGGAAGTCATAGCTGCATGGCAAAAGAATGAGCTTCGTTCATAGACCCAGCAACTAGGGGAAAAGGTGTAGATGTTAGGAACGTCGTGTCATCTATAGTCATTGATAAAACCACTAGGACTAGCTGATCAGCTAAAGTGCGGAACAGTGGAATCAATCCAAAAGATGTGCGTAAGCAACTGCTGGTTAGATTTACAGAAATCCAACCAAGCTGTCTCAAAATAGCAATTGGGTGGATGGGCCCTGAGTTTTTACGGTTGACTTGTCCATCTCCTTGAGCCACGACTCACGACTCTATGGAACAACTCTTCACACTGGCCGGATTCGCCAGACCGGCCTGGCCAACCTGCCCCTCAATACAAATGGGAACGCCAAAGAAGGCCGTTGCCAGGCCTGAAGCCAGTCAGAACGTCAAAGTTTTGTGAAAAACAGGGCAGCCAGAACCATGTTGGGTCAGATTATCCCAAGAACACGCAGGTCTTTCTTCGATATACCTCTGAAAATGACTTGAACCCACCATTCACCAATGACCAACTTATCCAGATTCCTGATCTACCAAGGTTATGGACAAACCGTGAACTTTCATGCGCACGTGGGGTTTTCGCAACAAGCTCCGACACACACTCGGGACATGCGTACGGTACTTTGCCACCTGCCAGCCTAAGTAAGAAACCTTAAGGGTTCCAAAGTTTTCAAAGGACTTCAACAAAAGAACGAAAACGACAGGGTCGAGCGGCGAGCGCACGTTTGCCGACCTGAAAGTCTCACCTAAACAGCCTGGAATCTTAGAGAAGGATGTAATAGTTAACGCCACAACAAGCTGCAGGTAGAAGAAGGTGATCAATCTCCGCTTCACCCATCGTGGAATAGCTTCGTTGGTACAGGTATCCACGATGGGCCTGTGCCCCCTGCAAAAGTTAAAGACCAACAGGTCCCCTATGATTCCAGCCCCCCGTAAAGGGGGGCCAAAGGCTAGAACATGCTAGAACTAAGGTTCCAAGGTGTAAGTGCGCACGCACACGAAAGACAAAAAGATGAAGACATGAGAGGAAGACATGAAAGGCCGGTGTATGTGGTGGCGGTGAAAAGGAGCCAAGTGAACAGGGACAACCAGATGATCCAGACCTCATTAAAGCAACCTGGGCGACCTCAGACCTAGCTTTAATGTACGAGTGAACGTGTACGCTAAGGGCCGGACCGATGTGCGCACAAAAGAGACATAAAAAGGACGTGAAAAGAAAGAGGAAAAGAAACATGTATGCGGCGTGCGGGGGAAAAAAGAAAGGAGACACCAAGTGCAGGGGCCAAAAATGAAACCGAACCTGGCTTAAAGAACATAAAAGAACCTAGGAACACCTGGCCTAGTCCCCAAACAGTTTCCTGTTGGGGTTCTATCAGCCCTACAATTGAAAAAAAAGAGCTGGCCACGCTGACTGGCCGCCCCTGAGCTCTGTGGCCAGGCTCTG